CTTGCCACCCAGATTCGAGACGGAGGCCGATGTCGAGGAGCTGCTGCCGCCGCTGAGGGAACGCTGCGCTTCCATTTTGGTTGAACCGACACCTGCGCCGGCAGCCGCAGCCGCCGCATAGCTGTAGTAATTCTCCGCCGATAGCTGCTCGTCGGAGGAGCTGGGCGTCAGGGTGGCCGGATCCAAGGCACCGCCGCTGTTGAGGAACGCGGCACGTGCGGCCACCACCCCAGCACCGAGAGGCTTCTTCAGGCGCTGCCCAAACTGCTGCTGCTGCTGAGGAGTTGCTGTGGCTGCAGTGCTGGCTGCTCCTCCTCCTCTGGGCTGTGGTCCATTCTGTAGCTGATACGAGGGATTCTTGAAGGCCAGCGGCGCATTGTGATGCGAATGATTCATTGCGGCCTTCAAGTGGCTCTCCACGGGACTGGAGGACTGCGAGGGCGAGGGATTTGTGGAGATGCTCTGATAGCCAGAGCTGCAGTGACTACTCTTGGCCGACAGTTGCTCCTTGAGGGCAGAGCTGCTTCCCGGAGGAGCTGCTGCTGCTGCTCCTGCTGCTGTGCCTGTGCCTGTGCCTGTGGGCATCTGCTTTAGGTGTCCACCCTGCTGGTTATGCTGATGCTGCAGCTGATGATGCTCCGCCACATCATGCTCCTCCGCATACTTGAAGAGATCATCCAGATCCTCCAGATTCTTGGGCATATTCGAATTGGGATGGAGGTTCGACTGGTGCTGCTGCTGCTGTCGCGGGTAGCCCGCTCCCGTTCCCGCTCCTCCCGAGTGATCCGGTATGCCCAGATTCAGTTTATGCTGATGCATGCGCCCCGCTGAGACACCACCCAACCCGCCACCGCTGGTGGACTTCATCATGGGCGTGGGTGACTTGCGGACAAAAGCGCTGCTTGTGTCGAGGCCAGAGATTTGTATCTGGAACTCCCTGTCATGCATGTCATCATAGCTGCCCTGATTGTTGTTATTGTTATTTGGATTGGGATTGCCATTGCCAGGACTTCCATTGCCATTGCCATTGCCATTGCGGGGCAGTGTCCTGGATCTGCTGGTGGATGAGGAGGGACTCTGACTGTGGCCGCTCTCGTACTCGTTGCCATTCTGGTGGCCATGTCCATGGCCATGGATATGCCCAGAGCCATTGACCACATACTGATACGACTGCCCCAGACGTTCCATTCGATCCATGCGCTCCATTGTGCTCGAAGCACTTGTCTGTGGTCCGGGCGGACAGTGCAAATGCTGCGACTGATGATGCGAGTGGAGCTGCTGCTGCTGCTGCTGCTGTTGCTGCGTGTGCGAGTGCAACAGATTGCTGCTGCTACCATTCAACGATGATGATGCCATCGAACTTTGCGACTGGGCATGCTGCAAGCCTCCGCCATACTGCTGCTGCTGTCCCGCACCCACGCCAGCAATGGAGCTCTGCGAATTGGAGTGCAACTGCATCGGATGCTGCTGCTGTTGCTGCTGCTGCTGTTGCTGCTGCTGCTGCTGCTGCTGGAGAAGTATTCCATTGACCGTGGGATCGTTATACCGAAAGATATTCTTCTCCAGGGAATTGGGTGTGAGGACACCCCGCATGATGCCACGCTCCGCGGACAGCGGCTTGCTCACAATCGCATGCTGCGGCTGTGCCAGCTGTGTCTGCTGTGGCAGCAGCTCGGCCAGACCCCCACCAGCCGATGAGGAGGAGGAGGCAGCCATGCCCATACCCATTCCAGTGCTGCTGGGCTGTCGATTCTCCTGATTCTCGCTGGTGGCTATCGAATGCGTGGACGTGGGCAAATATCCACCTGGCAGCGCCATCCCGAGACTTCCCTGCTCGCGGGCTTTGGTTATGTCATCGAGGATATGCTGCAGGGGATCCAGCTCGTGCTGTCGTGCCTCCGGCAGCTTGGCCAGACTCTCGCTGAGCAAACTGTGCAGAATCGACAGCTGCTTGCCCTGATCAATGTATCCCGCCCAGTCGAGTATCGAGTCTGGGGTCGGGTGCTCCGGCCGCGTGGATATTATCTCCAGGAACTGCTGCATGCGATCGGCCTCCTGCTCGAGGAAATCGTTCAGGAACTCCATAAAGTTCTCCTTGCCCTGGAAGCGCGTGAAGTTGGCCAGCGTCTGGAGCGTCTTGGCGACCAGCGTGAGGTTGCGGGTGGCCCGGGCCGACGGCAATTCGCTGGTGATATTAAACAGCGACGGCGACAGTATGGCCGGGCACAGGAAGCGCAGGAAAATGCTGGCCGAGATCAAGTTATCGGCCATATCCTGACGCCCCAGCTGCTGCAGACGCTCACGGAACGTGGCAAAGCAATTGCGCAGCTGGGCGGGGAAATGCTTGTGCGACTCGTAGATGCATTGCCAGGCATTCCGGACAGCGGCACGCAGCGCCGCCTGCTGACGCTGCAGGGAGCCCGCCGAGGAGCCGCTCGCCTTTGTGGGATCCACCTCGCAGTCACGCTCCGAGTGGATAAGCTCGTTAATGGGCGCCGAGAGGGTGTCCTGCAGATACTGTTCGCCTGTTAGCTTCAGGAATGCCTCCATGCTCTTGGTGGCCAGCGAATTGCCACGGAACGTGAGCCGCTGATCACCGACGCGCAGCAGATCGAGGGCCACCACATCGGTGAGGAAGGCACCGGCCAGCCCCTGGGCATGCATCAGCAGTACCAAGGCCTGGCCAATGTCCTCCTTGGCCTTGACACCAATCACCGGCTCGAGCGTCTCGCAGACGCGCTTGTAATTATCCTTCAGATAGGCCAGAAAGTTGCCATAAATGTTAATGGGCAGGATGTCGGTGCTCTGCAGGCGGCATTTGATGCGCAGCGTTGGCACCTGCTCCTTCTCGCGATCCTTGCCGCTGCTGCCGTTGCTCTCCTTGCCATTGCCCGAGTGACGGCCAAGGCTGTCGCCGGCCTTCTCGCTGAGTATCGGGTACCAGTGCTCGCAGGGCAGCCGCGAGCTTACCTCATGCACGGGTATCTTCACGGAGCCAACGAACTGATACTTGTCCCGCTTCTTCTTTTTGTCCACCTCCCGGAACACATTGACGGTGATCACATTGATCTCCGGTATGTCCGGGAAATCGAAATGCTCGCCCCAAAACAGCAGATCCGTCTGCAGCTTAACGCTCGTCCGACCATACAGTGTCTTGTCCAGCTGCAGCTCACAGAAGTACTTCTTCTTGGCGGGCAGATTCTTGGCCTCGTACACCCACATCTTCAGGGAGTTGTCGGTGCGACGTGTGTGCTCGGCATTCGGTGCTATCGACTTGCGCAGCGAGTATATCCATAGATCACGCTCCTGCCGTGATCCGCACGAGTAGTAGCGCTCGCCGCGTGGTCCACCGCGCACCTGAAAGCAATGCCTGCGTCCCAGCACCGATTGATGGACGGGCGCCACACCCACGGCGCCAGTGCAGGAGAGATCTACAGAAGGGTAAGCGTTCTTAGCAATCTTACTCATGCTTTTGTTTAGTGTTTAAACTCACCAATCGTGGACATAACCGCATGACTCGACAGCAGACTCTCATGCGAACGAGAGCCTCTCAAGCCGCCCGATCCGCGCTTTGTCCGCTCCAATTTGGTCACCGATTTGGTGCGCTTCAAAGGATTGGATCTAACAAGAAACAGTGGGAGCGGGTTAAATAGAATTCACAAGAGAGTTTTCGTTTATATTTCGGCTTACTTTTTGGTAAAGAAATTTGTAAAACGCGATGTGGCATTGTGCTCCTGCTGCTGATGCTGTTTGCTGCCCAAAATGGGCGTTGTGGGCGCTGATCCCCGACGACAGGCCTTCTCATAGGAAGTATCTGCAAGAAGAACAAACAAAAAGGAGGATTAGAATATATATTCTCTTTTTTTTTGCCATTTCCGGAACGGAATCTCCTTGCTTTTTGGAGCAGTCCCCGCCCCACAAATGATGCATTTATTCCCTCAATCCCTTCCTGCTTCGCTATGCTCTGTAAATTTTTGTTTTTTGTTGGTTTGTATTTTTTTGGGCAAAACTGGTTTCTCGGTTGGAACGAACAAGAGAACGAACAGGAGAGAGAGCAGCAGCTGCTGCACACATCACCTGTCCCCCGGCAACGCCCCCGTTGTACGACCCTGGGCCAGAGTACAAAACCCATCAAGAGGCAGAGTTCATCAGGTACCACCATCCACATATGATTCATCATGTGCCTCATTACGGGAGGGACAAGAGGGACAACCTCTTGCTGCTTGTGGTTGCGACTCGAAACAGGTTTTCAATCTTCTTCTCATTTGTATCTTCCATCTCCGAGCACAAAATCTTTTTTGTTCTTCTGCGTTGTCGATGCTGCTGCTGCCCGCCCGCACAAAGCGACCTTGTCCCGCAGCAGACCACCCAACAGGATGAGGCTGCGGATGAGGCTGAGGCTTAGTCTGCATGCTAACCCCCCCAAGTGAGGCTGTGAGTCATTAAAAACAGCAAACATCGTTTCATTATTCACTCATTGAATACACTGCCGACATTCCCATTCGAAGAGATGCAAACAGTCCGATATATTTCCACTCAAAAGGAGCTGCATTGGGGCGCGTTTTGGGTCGGTTCGTTCACCGTTAAAGGAGGAACGAGTATGCGAAAAAGAACATTGATTAGATGTAGTTTAAGTACCAACAATTGACTACTAAGACACACTGGAAGAGAGCAAGAGAACGCATCAGGCGAAGGAGAAAGTGTTTACCATTTTCATTCATTGAAAAAGCTATCCATACTATATAGTTGGTCTCCCCTCTGGGTGTCATCAAACCAAACTCGCATCAAAAACAAAAAACAAAAACCAAAAATCAACCTGACAAAAATGGCACACTTTGTAGGCCCACGCCCCATGCACAAGAACCGCCTGCCCATAGATGGAAGACATAAAACAAATGTCCATAAGTTTAGTTGAAGAAGGCACAGCTGAAATATTCCAAAAAGAAATGCCACATCGAAACATGCTTACTGCTAAGCTACGCTGTGAGTTAAAGGCAGATTCTTTTGTTCATATTTTTATAGATATTTATCATCATATCTCTACATCGATTAGTTGTTCTTTCGTAAGTTTCTTGCAATAAGCCGACGAGTACATGTGACGCTGAATCTCGCAGTAGAGAAACTTATTGATATCGCTGGTCAACAGCTTTCCAGTGTGGCATCTATTAAGGGTTCGTCTGTTCCAAAAGTTTTTATCAACCACTCTGTATGTGCGCGGCCTCATGTAGATCTTGTGTGGAAAATATGAAAATCTAGAATGTGTTCTCTCCCACCCTATGTTGCCATAGAGCGTGGACTTTTGCTTGCAAACTGTCCCCAATTTGGCATCGTCTGGATAATAGTTGACGAGTGGATTTGATGCCATTCGAATACGGGGAATCCTGCTATACTGTCCAATCGCCAGTCGCGTGTCCAACCACACATCCTCATAGTCCATCTGCTTCCACTTGTTCTTTACCGCTCTCCACTGAAGATTTTTGAGTTCGTATGTTCGTGCCAGAGGTATCGTCAGCTGTGTCTGATATTGTGTGCTTTCATTGATCACATTTGCCGTAGATCTGGGGCTGCTGTCCAACTGAGGGTCCGCTTTAGGAATTTTAAATGATTTTAACCCAAACATACGAAGTCCCTTATCCGGAGGGTAGCCGTGCTTCGCCACGACAATACTGCCACCAATGCCGTCGGTGGTCTCTTGCATCTTTTTGTTTGAGGCTTGGTTTTGGGTTCGGGTTCGGGTTTGAGGTTCAGGTTTTGTCGTTGTGCTGTGGCCGGCTGCTTCTTCGGTGTTGTCCTCTGTTGTCCAATGGTTAACCACTGTGCTACTGTTTTGGGGTTCCACTGTAATGCTTATCTGGGGTTCTTCCGGTATCCCTCTAGGGGTTCCTTCTAGTCTCCCCTGAGGAATCATTGTGCTAGTGCTTTGGGGTTCCTCTTGGCTACTTCTCTGGGGTTCTTCTGGTTTATTCAGGGGGTCCACTGTGCCACTTCCTTGCGGCTCCACTGGAATATTTCTTTGGAATTCTTCTGGGCTGCTTATTTGCAATTCCACTGCACTATTTGTCTGGGATTCCTCTGGTTTCTTTTGGTTGACCTCTTGTATCACTCTCTGCAGTTCATCTGGTCTCCTTTGGTTTGCCTCTTGCGTACTTCTTTGGATTTCCGCTGTGCTACTGCTCGGAGAATCTTCTGGTATCATCTGGGATACCTCCGGTGTGCTCGTTCGTCTATCTGGCATCGTAATCATGACAGTGTCATCGAGTGTTTCCGAAGACGGCTGCTCTGAAGTACTTTCTCGTTTTTCTCTCCATGCATATTTAGAAGGCTCTACCTCTACGGACTGTGATATTGGCGCCGCTTTAAGGGCTTGAAAATGGAACATCATCTGCGTTTTTGGATACACTGCACGGCTCAGAAAGTAACACAACAAAAAAAAACCCCGAAAAACTTACTCTAATCAGGAAGAACAACCACAGCATGGAGGTCACACGTATCGGGTACATTTTCAAAGCGAATTTAATGGCTGACTTGAATACAATGCCAGCGAAATTGTTTCACATATAATTTGCATGAATATAAAGGGACTATATTTCAGATTTTCAATGAAATACTTAATACGATTTTGAGGAAAGAGCAGAGCATGCTATGTCAGCATTTCTTTAATTTTTTACATAATGTTTCACCTTTTTATTCTCACAAATTCCGTTCAGGTTCTCATTCGGAAACCGCTCCAATGGAATTCCATTCCACCATACGAGAAGTTCCCCCTACGCATGCTGGCATGGATGGCTGTAAACAGCCTTCTTCTATTTTTTGGAGCGAAGAAGATCATCAGCTTAGAGATCACCTTACTTGCGTATATGGTCAGGTGAAGTCAGACCCAAACCTAGACCCAGTTCCAGGGCTTATTACAGCCATACTCCCAACACCATATGTGGGGTGTGTGTGTAATGATTCGTTGCTTAAATGTTATGAATGATGCTCTTTTGAATTTCAATGACCTCCTCCGGAGGAGATCATCATCGTCATCTCTAAAATATGGCTCATCGTTTGACTCATCAAAAAAGCGCACATTTCGGTGTGGTTGGGTTTTCTTTCAAAATGCTTCCAATTAAAACGGATTTCATAAATTGAAAGCACGATAAGAAAACAGACTAAAATCAATCAACAGGCAAAACGAATGGGGAAATATCGAGGAACACATCGGATACCTTGTGGCGGGGGGCGGCATGCATCTGCTGCTGCTAAACGTGCGATAAGGTCGCCTCAATTATCACCGCGTATGGTGGAAAATGTGGAAAATTAAAGGCGCTGGACTGGGGCTGACGGACGATAAGAAGACGAAAATCAATAAACTAAACCAAGAAAGATGACAGGCAAACATCTGGTCTGGTCAGAATACCCCAGGAAATATTCGGACTGCCACACAAATCAAAGATCATATATTTTCCTTTCAATTTTCATTATGTTTGCGCTTCTTCTTAGCATTTCTCTATGTGTTTCTCTTCTATTTCTTGTGTGTGTGTGTGTGTGTGTGTGTGTCTGACGACAGCTTTATCGACAAAGAAAAAAAGTCAACCTCCTTTGGGTGAATGTCGTTACAAAAGCGTTTTTGGTCTTATCAAATTACAAATAAAAATGCAACTGCCACTGCAGCTGACCCCGTCACACGCCCCACCCCTCCACCTTCCATTCCCTCATACCGCACACTCTTCTAGCTCCTCCAGCAGTGCATCAAAGAGCAAGACAGAGAGTTAGAGAAAGAGAGGGATATGCTTTTACATACATACATGCATGACCCATTAATGGGTAAGGCAATCGACACTAGTAAGCCGAATGAAGATGTTTCCATCGCCCACTGCCAAACCTTCTTACAAAACATACCTTGCAGAAAAACAAAAACACACAGATGGCAGCAACAAATTTAGTTTTTAAAATAAAGCCGCTCGTTTGTTTAGCATTCACTTCGCTCTCTTTTCCATTCCCGCACAAACGATCACATTTGTTTGCCCCTCTCTCTCTCTCTCACCCTCTCTCTATCTTCTCGTTCACTGCTCTCGCTGTTGCTGCTGCTCAAAACTGGTTTCTTGTGCGGGTGTTTAAATGTGTGTGTGTGTAGAGTGTGTTCATGTGAATCATAATCAAAAACAGCAACAAAGCCACAAAATTGAAATTGTAGCCAACGAGAGCGAGAGGAACCGAGGAGGAGGGGAATGAATTGAAGGGAGAGTGTAAGAGCAAAGCAGTCTGAAGAAACGACACAGTACAACACACACACACAAAGGCACAGCTTTAATGAACCAAAATTAGCTGCAAATTTCAATACTAATTTTGTTCATTGCAACAAGTGACAATTTTAACGGTATCAATCGATGGCTGGCCCCTATGGTTCTCTCTGTCCGTCTCTCATTTGAAATGCAGCTCACTTGGGGCGCTTCGAAGTACTCCCAGATGTGTTTATGTATGGCAAACTGATTCCAATTCACAATACACATTTCAAGTAGTAAAGTAGAAAACTGCTGCTTCCATTCCTGGAATACAAAATCAGAATGCAAGAGGATGCCCGACAGCCGACAAACAGACAGACAGAGGTACAGGGGCGGACAGCAGTCCGGTACACTTTCCTATCATTTTCAGTTCAATTCAATTCAGTTTAGTTGAGTTAAGTTCTATTTCATTTCAGTTTTCAGTTGAGGCCCATTGTGCGACGCAACGCTTGACTGCTGCTGCTTCTGCGTCTGCTTGTGTTTCGTCCCATGGCCAACCAAATTGAGCTACAATTGAGGTAAACAATTGGGCTACGCAACGCAAAAGAAGAAGACGGAGAACGTAAAGTAGAATGTAAGAGGAATGGAACGTCTTTTTAGGGAGGAGCACAGCACCAATTCGATACACCTCCCTCCTCTTCCGATGCTTCTGCTTTTTCTGCTGCTGGAATGATGATGATTATGATGATGTCTGATGGTAGACGTTTGCAGAACGTCGCAAAAAGGAACGCACGAAACAGGAAGGCTTAATAATAAGTGCGGGATAATGGAATGGTTGAATGGGGTACGGGTATTGGAATTCTCAGGGTGTGGGGTTCGTGTGCTAGGTCCCATCTTATCTTATCGTGACCATACATGCTTACGTATGTGTGCGTCGTCTCCCCCTTCTCACTCACACTCTCTAGGTAACAACACCAGCAGAGCGTAAATATAATGCAAAATCGATCGTAACGATTTGAAATTGAGGGGGGGAAACGCGCGGGGAATGGAACGGATCGTTTCCGATCCCTATGTTTTGGGGGTTGTTCTTTCCCTTTTCTTTTTGTTTGATCGATGGTAACAGGAAACACGCACACACACACACAAAACAAAGGAATGAAGAACTAACCAAAGTAAAAACAAAACAAAAAATAACGAAATAAAGACGAGAAGACTGAGGCAAAAGTTGTTGAAACTTTTCTTCTAAAGACCTACCAGAATGATGTCCTGCATCATCGTCCGCTGTCACTGTCCTATCCTCCTCATCCACTGTTGTTGATGTTGTGTTGCATCCTACGCCGGCTTCGGTGGCCGAGGAAGCCGTGGCATGCATCACCAGATCTTTGATCTTGAAACGCTCACAGATCAGCTCCTCGCAGTGATCCGTTTGAAAGTAGCTGTTCAGCTCGTCTAGACCCAGGGGGCAGACATCGTAGGGCAGATAAAAGTGCTTGCCCCAGCTGCCGGTGCCGATGCCACTGTCGCCAGCACAGCTGGACGACGCCGACAGCTGCTGCGAATACTGACTGCTCGAGTGCATCATCAACAGACTACTTTGGTGCGCAGACGTCCCTTCTCCGCCTGCCAATCCCGATCCCACTCCGCCACCGATGGTCTTTAGCAGAGAATTGCTGCGCGACACCTTCGTGGAGTGGGCGCGTCGAATGAAGCTGAGCGATTTCTTGGGCGGCGAGCAGATCGCTGATGTGTGCACCGGCGGTGGACACGTGCCACCGGCAGTTGCATCCGCGGCCGTCAGCTTGGGCGTCGACTTGAGCAGAAAGAGGTTTTTCGGCGGAAAACTGTGCGTGATTATCGATGTGGCCGACGAGCTGCCCTGAAGCTTGTAGGGCGAGGAGGAACCACCGCTTTGCTCTGTCAAATGGCTGGCCGTACTCCCACCGAACAGTTGCCGCTGTTTGGGTAGGTTGTGCTGCTGTGCGTGTGGATGCGGATACGGCGACTGGTGTAGAGCGGATGCCTCGCGTAGTGCTACTGACGGGGATAGGTTCTGGGGTAGGGTCTTCGATTTGGCTCGGAGCGTAATCAGCGTTGTGGTTGTCGTTGTCGTGGAAATACTGCTGGTGCCAGGTGATGACGCAGTCGCACTCGCACTCGCAGCTGCTGTTCCCGTTGCCGTTGCTGTTGCGAGCCCTCTCTCCACAGTGGGCAGCGGTACGGCGAGTATGTTCGTGCGCGATCGCGACTTCATCAGCTTGATGGGCGTTGAGGTGTTCGTCTGCATGCGACTTATCTCTGAGTCATCGTCGTCGTCACCATCAGCAACCCCTTGGTTTACTGATGATACGCCGGACGACGATTGGCGCGAATGCGCTGGAGACAGGGAGAGAGCCTGCTGCTTCGGCGGTGTCGGATTTGCCATCGCAATGTCCTGATCCTCATTAGAGTGACTTCTGAGAGTGGCGGTGGAGGCAGCGGCAGTGGCAGTTGGAGTGCACCCCCCAGGAGCACCTCCTTCCGAATCGCAGTCACTGCTGCCATTGAGGCTGATCACATTCAGCACGATCCCATATCGCTTCAGTTTCGAAGGTGAGGCCGTGGAAGATGTCGCGGCCGATGGCAGCGATTTGAGCAACTGTTCGCGATGCATCGCCTCCACCGAATTCTCCTCATCCTCGTCCGAGTCGGAATACTGGGCGGCATTCTCACTGCCGCTAATGCTCCAGTTGAAGCCGCACGGCGGTGACATTTTGTTGACGTTCCCTCCGCTCTGGCTCCCACTTCTGTGGCTGCTGCGCTCAAAGAGCGCACTCACCTTAGCCACTCCGCTCTTAACGGAGCCCGACTTCCTTAAGCCAAAGTTTTTCGATGATGAGGACTGTTTTTGGGGGCGATGTGTGGTATTTTCGGGTGTGTTGTTGTTGTTGTTATTGCTGCTGCTACTCAGGCTGGAACTGCTGCTGCAGCTGCTGCCACCGTAGGGCGAGGATTCCTTCTCCTTTTGCTTCTGTTTATCTTCCTCCGCTTTCTCCTCTTCTTCGTCTTCGATCACTAATGGGACATAGAACGTGGAACGACGGCGTTGCGTTTTTTCCTCTGGCGTTGCTGTTGCTGTTACTGTTACGTTTGCGACGTCGCTTCTTTGTTCTGTGTTTGTTGTTGTTGTAATGCTAGCGTCACTGGCGGTGGCCGCCTGAAACATTTTGGTGTGTGCGCCCGTTGTTTTCAAGGGTCTCTGCTGCTGCTGCTATGCGCAGGCGCCTCGCTGTTCATTGCTCACACACACACACAAACGCACATACAACACTCACACACTCGCGCAGAAAAAGGAGACAGAAAGAAAGAAGAGAGGGAGCAGAGCGTCCGTTCGTTGATGTGCAGGTATCTTCTCTTCTTCTCCTTTTCGTCTGCAATTT